AAGTTCACTCACTTCCCCTGAGCTCCCCCCTCTTCCCCTTCACTGTAAAAGCTTTTTCTTGCCTCTTTTATGTGAGGCAATTTATCCCATTCTACCTCTCCCTTTCTCTTTCTCCCAGTACATTCCTCTCTCACCCTTTAATTCTAGTTTTTAGATATCATCCCTTCATATTCAACTCACACCTGTACCCTTTGCCTATATTTACTCCTTCTAGCTGCCCTAATAATGAGAAAGTCTTTAGGAGTTATAGGTATCATCTTCCCATGTAGGAATATAAATAGTTTAACTTATTAAGTCCCTCATGATTTCCCTTTCCTGTTTACCTTTTTATGCTTCTCTTGAGTCTTGTATTTGAAAGTCAAATTTTCTATTCATCTCTGATCTTTTCATCAAGAATGCTATCTTATTGAATGTCCATTTCCCTCCGAAGTATTATACTCAGTTTTGCTGGGCAGGTGATTCTTGATTGTAATCCTATCTCTTTTGCCCTCCAGAATATCATATTTCAAGCCCTCTGATCCTTTAATGTAGAAGCTGCTAAGTCTTGCGTTATCTTGACTGTGGCTTCACAATACTTGAATTGTTTCTTTCTGGCTGCTTCCAATATTTTCTCCTTGACCTGTGAATTCTGGAATTCAGAAATAATATTCCTGTGATCTCTTTGGGGATCTCTTTCAGGAAGTAATCAGTAGATTCTTTCAATTTCTATTTTACCCTCTGCTTCTAGAATATCAGGCAATTTTCCTTGATAATTTCTTGAAAGATGATTTCTAGTATCTCCTGGATCTGTTTTCCAGATCAGTTGTTTTTCCAATGAGATATTTCACATTGTCTTCTTTTTCCCCATTCTTTTAGTTTTGTTTTATTGTATCTTGATTTCTTATAAAGTCATTAGCTTCCATTTGCTCCATTTTGATTTTTAAGGAATTATTTTTTTCGTTGAGCTTTTGGACCTCCTTTCCCATTTGGCCAATTCTGCTTTTTAAGGTGGACCTCTTATACCATTTGGCCTAGCCTGCTTTTTAAGGTACTATTTTCTTCAGTATTTTTTTGTGTCTCATTTATTAAGCTGTTGACTCATTTTTCATGATTTTCTTGCATCACTCTCATTTCTCCTCCCAATTTTTCCTCCACCTCTCTTACTTGATTTTCAAAATCCTTTTTGAGCTTTTCCATGGCCTGAGACCAATTCATATTTTTCTTGGAGGCTTTGGATGTAGGAGCCTTGACTTTGTTGTCTTCTTCTAAGTGTATGATTTGATCTTCCTTGTCACCATAGAAACTTTCTATAGTCCGAGTTTTTCTTCTGTTGTTTGTTCATTTTCCCAGCCTATTACTTAATTTGACATTTTGTTAAAGTAGACTCTGCTTCCAGGATGGGGGGCAAACAGTCCCAAGCTTCAGGGGTTTTATGCAGCTACAGAGATACTTCTAAGGACCTTCAAGTTTTCAGTTCTTCCAAGGTGGTATGATCTAAGGAGAGGTGTTTGATGCTCTCCTGGCCTGTACTGTTGTCTGTGAGCAACCACAAGTATTCTTTTCAGCCCTGCTGTGCTAGTGCTTCTCCTTACCCTGGGACTGCCATTCAAGACCATGAACTGGATCTGAATCTTGGCAAAGTAACAGAGTCTTGCCCAGTGCTAGCAAAAAGACCCCTGTAATTCCCTTTTGACAAATTGTTTGACCCGCTTATCATCTGTGTGCTGAGAGCTACAGAAGAAGCAGCAGCTGCTGCTGATTCAGTCACTCCCAAGGTCTGCTCTTTGATTCCTGGGGCTGGGGCTGTGCTGGCATGGCCTGAGCTGGACTTTGTGTCACTCTCACCCAGCTGTAACAGATCCTTCCTGCTCTCCTTCTAAGCTGACTTTGGGCTGAGAGGTCTGGAAACTGCCACTGCTGCCAAGGATTTGGTCACCCTGAAGGGCTCAGTCTGCACTGGCACCATCCTGCTCTGTTTGGACTGTGCTCCTGTCTCACCCTGGTGCAACAGACTTTTCCTGCTGACCTTTCAAGTTGTCTTGGACTAGAAATCTGTTTCATTCCATCTTTTTGTGAGTTCTGATGCTCTAGAATTTGTTTAGAGTCATTTTTAAAGGTATTTGGAGGGGATTGGGGGACAGCTGAGGTGAATCCCTGCCTTTACTCTGCCATTTTGGCTTCACCTCTCTGCCTTACCATTTTCTTTTCTTTTTTTTAAGTAATTGGGGTTAAGTGACTTGCCCAGGGTCACACAGCTAGTAAGTGTCACGTGTTTATTCTGAGGCTGGATTTGAACTCAGGTCCTCCTAACTTCAGGGCCGGTGCTGTATCCACTGCCCCTGCCTTACCATTTTCAAAATGCTTATATATACATTCTCTCATTTGATCTTCACAGCAACCCTGTGAAGCAGACTGGGAAAGTAATATCCCCTCCAATTTATACATGAGGAAACTGAGACTTAGAAAAGAGTTGTCTTTCCCAAGGTCATACAATTACTAAGCATCACTGCCGAGATTTGACTCTGGCACCCCTGACTCCCATTCATTGTACTTTCCTCCCACATTGTTCTACTTCTCATTAATTTGCCTGTATCTGATGTTTGGTTAGCTATGCTTTCAGAGACTGAAGAGACCTTGGAGGTTTTCTAGTCCAACCTGTAACTAAATGGGGATTCCCATAAGTCATGTAGAACAAATGGCCATATACTTTCTCCTAGAAGAACACCAGCTCTTTTTTTTTTAATAGAATTGTTTTCTAAAGCTATCATCTCCATCTTGTATTTTGAGTTTTCAAAACACAAGTGAAGGAAATTACATCTATTCCTAATAAATTTCGTATTAGGAGTTATACAAGATTCCTTTTTAAATACAACCACAAAGATAACTTTGATCAATGAGCCTCTTATTATTGCCAAAAGAATCATAAAACAAGGAGGTATATTTTGTCCAAAGATGTTTGCCACTGTCATGTATGATACTTTGGACAAAGTCTACATAGAAGAGTAATTCCTATGTATAGAACATCCTTCAAATGTTCCTGTTTGTGGATGATCTTATGATAATTTTGTAACAGTGGCCTTTATAATACAGGGCCTTCTCAATGAAATCCTTACCAGGGAAAGACAAAGCTAAGAAAGAAAATGACCAATATCCTTAATGAGTATCAACATAAAAATATTGAATAAAATATTAACAAATCAGCTAGAACAACACATTAAAAATATACATTATGGCTAGGTTGGCTGTATGCCATGATTGCAGAATTGGTTCATTATTAGTAAAACTATAAACATAACAGACTACATAAATATCAAGGATAAATATCACATGATTATACTAATGCAGAAAATTGCACCAATTTCTGTTAAAATATTAAAAAACATGGGAAGATGGAATTTCCCTTACTATGATATATCTACTAGATTTTAGTATCTATTAAAACCAAGAGCTAACATTATATGTTATGGAGAAACACCAGAGCCCTTTCCAATATGAACAAAGGTAAAAAATGGGATATCCATTATCATAATTTTTTTATAGTTCTATTAATGCTAGGTATATAAATAAGGCAAGAAGAAACTGAAGTAATAAGCATAAGCAAGAAGAAAGCAAAATTGTTACTTTTTACAGATGGCATGATTGTTTTCTTAGAGAACTCAGAAGATTTAACTAAAACATTAATTGAAATAATTTCAGCAAAATGGCAGTGTAACATCACATAAATCATCAGCTTTTCTGTACATTACCAACAGAACTTATCAGGACAAGATAGAAAGATAAATTCCATTCAAAGTAACTATAGAACCTATAAGATATTTGAGAGTATATCTATCAATACACACATGGGAACTACAAAATGTTCTTGATAGTAATAAGACATACCTAAATGATTAGACAGATCTTAATCACTTATCATTGGATCATGTCAATATAATGAAAATGACAATATTAGTTTACTTATTCAATGTCATGCCAATCAAACTACCAAAAGGTTACTTTATAGAATTAGAAAAAATAATAACAAAATTTATCTAGGGGAACAAAATATCAAGACTCTCCAGGAAAATAATGAAAAAAAAATTAGGGAGGGAATGTAGCAGCACCAGACCTTAAACTATACTAGAAAGGAGTAATTATCAAAATTATTTGGTGTGAGCTAAAAATTTTAAAAGTTGGTCAGTGGAACAATTTAGAAATAGAACATACAAAAGCAAAAGAATCTAGTAATCTAGTGTTCAATAAACCCAAAGATGTTCATCACTGGAGTAAGAATTTTATCCAACAAAAACTACTATGAAAACTGGAAAGTAGAGTGGAAAAATAAGGTTTAAATCATGATTTCATACCATATGACACAATAACTTTCAGATGGACAGATAACCTAGATCTAAAAGGTCACATCATATATGTATGAATGAAGAAAATACCTGATACAACTTCAGGGAAAGAGTTTGTAACCAGACAAATGACAGAAGACCATAAAAGCTAAAATGGATAATTTTGACATCATAAAATTGATTCACTTTTTGTACGAGTGAAAATCGATGTAGTTAAAATTAGAAAGGAAATAAGGAACTGGGGAAAAAATCTTTGTAACAAGTTTCTCTGAAAAAAGTCTGATATCCATGATATAAGAAACTGATTCAAATATATAATAATGGCAGCCAAACACCAACAGAGAAATGGCCAAAGGATATGAATAGGTAGTTCTCAAAGAAAAAAATCCAAGCTATCAAAAGACATATAAAATGTCCCAAATCACTAATAATCAGAGAACAACAAATTGAAAACACATATGAGTTCCTAATTCACATCTACCAGTTGTCAAAGACCGTCAACAAATCAAATAATTAAGTGGAGTAGGTGCTGTCAATCAATTTGAAAGATTAGCCACAGGTAAGCCGCAATTTTTATGATCAGCCTGGTAATAATTAAGAGTTAACTGCATATTTATTTAGATGCCACACTTTCTATTTCTGTCAATACCAAAGGATTTTTCTTTCTTTCTTTTTTTAATGCAGGAAATATCGTGGAACTATCCTGTCTTGATGTTAATTTACTAAATAATTTCACTTATCCACTCCCTGAATTCAACATTTCTTTTGTGAGCTTCCTGCATCAAGAGAGAGAACATGAGGTTATTGTTCTGGGAATTTCTGCAAAACACTTCCACTTTCATAATATGTCTAAGGTCTGTCCATTAACCTCTCGTGAATTACAGCTGTACTCTTCATGTTTGGTGTGTGAATCCAAGGGAACTAAGGATTTTATTCATCAGGAATTAACAACAAAAGGTAACAGCAAACTTAAAGAAATATGGGAAATGGAAAGAAAAGTGATCAATGGTAAATTATTCATTATGTTAAGTATAATTTAAAACAACAAAGATGAAAATAATTTCTATTTTAAGGACAAAGACACTAGGTCACTAAATTAAATGCCAACCATGAGTAACAGACTTAATGATACAACTTCTGACTTTAGAACAGAATCTCACAATTGGAAGTTAACCATAGAGGCCATTTAAGTCAGTCTCCTACTCAAAGAGATATCAGGAGATTAGGTCCCTGCAGGACTGAAAGGAGAAGACAGATGCAGATCTTGATACTTGGGGAAGACTCCTAGGAATTTCCTCCCTACCTCTTGCCACTGTGAGGTTAGACGCAAAGATGAGTGTTCATTTCCCTTCCTTAAGAAGTAGTTAGGAGTATTAGAGAAGAGGCAGAGGATAGATGTATATGGCATTGGGGTGGCTAAAAGCTGGCATGTGAGTTATGAGCTTATTAGTCTGAAAGGAAAGGCAGAGGTTATGGTGAATGTGCATTTTGGGTGTGTTTTTTGGCATGGGAACAGTGACTAGCGTGGGTGAATGTGGCATCATGATCCAATGTATGTAGGGTGAGAGGTGTGAATGAGTGGAGGATAGGAACTTGAGCCTTTGGGAATGAAGTAGAGAGTGAGAAAGAATGATTAGAGAATGTAAGGCTGAGTATGGAAGTGGAGGGAGGAAGGTGGTAGGAATGTGGAGGCTGGGAGGATTTAATACTGGAGGGCTTGTCATGGAGCTGCTTTCCTTATATGATTATCATGGTGTTTGTGCATAGGTAGAATTTATAGCCTGATTGTCAGAGTGCGCTGTACACAATATGTGTGAGTGCAGAGTGAGTAATGATTAAGTCTGTAAGATCAGCCTTATATCAGTGCCGTAAGTTATAGGCACTATACAGTTCTGAAAAAGGTTGATTCTCTAGGGACCCTAAGGTCTTTCCTGCCTAAGGTTTCAATCCCATAGTGACGCTATGTCTGGTATAATTAATAGGTTGCTGAGAGGCAGAGGCCCTTGGAGGGCTGGAGTGGGATTGCTTGACTCTCTGGTTCACAGGAAAAGTGTTTATTTACTCTTTAAAGTGGTCCCACTCAATCTTTAAGTCAAGATATAGAGACCCACTGGAGAAAAGAGAAATTGTCTTGACTTTTTATGGGCTAAAATGTGAGTTCTTTGTGAGTTACTTTGTTTTGTTGTTAAATAAAGCCTGTCCTATTTTCAATGTTAGCAAGAATACAGCTAAAACAATCTTCAAAGACACAGATGTGGCCATGTCATTCTTCTGCTCAAATGCTTCCTTATTGCCTCTTGGATAAAAAGGAAATATTTCTCATGAGATTTATGGCTGTCTACAATCTGGCTCCAACATGCATTTCCAGTTCTATTTTGCTTTATTCTATATTACTTCAGCTTCAGGGCAGCCAAGCAGTGCAGTGGATACAGTGCCAGGCCTGGTGTCAGGATGACCTGAGTTCAGATCCAGCCTCAGACCCTTATTAGCTGTGTGACTCTGGATAAATCACTTAACCCTGTTTGCCCAAGTTTCCTTATCTGTAAAATGAGCTATAGAAGGAAATGGCAAAATCCCAAATGAAGTTGTGGAAAGTCAGATATGACTGAAACAACTGAACAACAATCCAAAGTGATTGAGTAGCAGCTATTTTTTGCTCTCAGCAGGCCATCTTCTGCCTCCTGGCATTGTCAGGCTGATCCTGCACCCTTAGAATGTTCTACTTCCTCATTTCTGCATTTCAGAACCCTTAGCTTGTTTCAAGGCTCAGTTGAGTCAGTGGAGCTTTCTGATTTCCCTAGATGAAAATGTTCTCTTTCCCCTCAGCATTTCCCTAGAGCATCTTGTTTGGTTCTTTCCTTTGCCCTACTTTGTCTTGTACTTATTTCTGTATTGTGTTGTCATGCTCATCAATGTATAAGCCATCATCACTCGAGTAGAATAACATAAAATTTTTTGTCTTTGTATTTTCAATACCTGGAGAGGCAAGGAAACATACTGGAGAGAGAGAGAGAGAGAGAGAGAGAGAGAGAGAGAGAGAGAGAGAGAGAGAGAGAGAGAGAGACAGAGAGAGACAGAGAGAGAGAGAGAGAGAGAGAGAGAGAGAGAGAGAGAGAGAGAGAGAGAGAGAGAGAAGTAAAATCAAGAAGACCTGTGCTCAAGTCCTTTCACTGACATATACTGGTTGTGTGATTCTGGGCAAGTCATTTGATCTCTAAGTGTCGGAGGGCATTTTAAGAATATAACTAGTTATAGATGAGTTGGCACTTTGTACTGTTGGAGGGAGTTTCCACACCCAGGAGTCCCTATGCTAATCATGTCTCAGACTTAGTCCTCTTCCTAATCTCCATCATACATTGGGTTAAATAAGAGCCACAAAGCAAATTGGACAGAGTTGCATAGTGTCAGGCCACTAGGCAGATTTTCAAAGCTGGCTGGTTACTCTCTCCCTGCTTAAAAAGGGCAAAAAGTATTTGTTACCCCAGAGAACATCAGGCATATATGATCAATTGCTCTTTGAGGATGATCAATTCTGCTCCAATTGTACAACTTCATTTATTTTAGATGTGTTTGTTACCTTTTTCTTTTATTCTCTCTCAACTGAGTAATTTGAAAAAGTAATGGTCATAGTCCAGCAAAACAAATTCCCACATTGGCAATGTCCAAAAATGTGTATGTCATTCAGTATTTTTAAATCCCTCACCTTTTTGGTAGGAGATCGAGTAGCATTTTTGCCTTTCTTTGTATCCCAAGTGCTTAGCACAGTACCTGGCCCATAGTATCAAATAAGTCAACTTATGTAAAGCTCTTTACAAACATCAAAGTACTATAAAAGATAGCTAGTAGTAGTAGCAATAACAGTAGCAGTAGCACCAGCAACAGCCGCAGCAGCAGCAGCAGCAGCATTACTAGTAAGCACCTAATAAATGCTTATTGATTGATTGACTAACCAACTGGTTCTATCATTTCATTTTATTTTTTAAAAAATTAATCTGTTGAATTATCAACAATCCCTTCCATAAGCTTCTGAGCTTCAAATTTTTCTCCCCTTCCCTCTCCACCTTCTTCCCCAAGATGGCTGGCACACAATCTGATATAGGCTATACATATACATTCCTATTAAACATATTTTCACATTGGTGATGTTGTAAGAATTAGAGCCAATAGAAGGAACCACCAGAAAGAGGAAACAAAACACAACAGAAGAAAAAAAAAGAGCAAATAGTATGCTTTGATCTGCATTTAAACCATAGTTCTTTCTTCTTTGTGGATAGCATTTTTCCATCATGAGGCCTTTGGAGATGTCTTACATCCTTGTATTGCTGTGGCTCTACCATTTTAAAAGCTTAACCTCCTTTTGTTAAATTTCCATTGAAGACTATTCATTCAAATTTCTTTTTTTAAGGAAAAATGAGGTTATATTGAGTTTTCACATGTAAGTCCCTTATAGGACATAATTCTGTTCTTCTTCTAGCTTCCATAATGAATGACTCAATGGAAATGAAAGCTGAGAATTTTCTTCCACTTCGTGTAATTTTCAACTTCACTGTGGTTCCTGTTGTTGATGACCTGGGAGGATATGATACTACCTGTGTAGTGAAACTCCACCTCACAAATTTTACTGCCGGGAAAGAGCCAATGAAGACAACTTTGCTAAATAGCTCTCACAGAAGTATGCAAAGCCTGAACAACTGCAATCAGGTTTCTCTGCAACTTGAAATGGAGACAGGAAGTAAGTTATTGAAGGGAATTAGAAGGAAACTTGGAGACATGGCTTCTGGTAATATTTGAGTGCAACTAAGAAATAAAAATTCTCTTACCATTTTCCTATTAAAGCCAAATATGAGAACAAATTCATGAATAAAAGAATAGGGCCTGAGATTGAATACTGCTTTCATTTCTTTTTTTCCTTCAAAATAGACTTGCCTATGACACATGCCTTAAACATAGGCAGAATGAGCCTCCTATCTGATGTGGTTGAAGAACTCTGAGAAAGTCCTCTTCCCCTAGACTTAAAAGAAAATCTCCTTTCTCATATACTGCTGATGCTTGAAAGCCCTGCATTAGAGATTTGCTCCTTGACTATATTGACTTCTTCAATCTTTTGACTGACTTGAATTCCCTCTGCTGATACTGATCCTTCATCTTGTGCTGCTCCTGTCCATATCCTTCCACATATCCTGCACTCCGGTGTGTTTTGGGGACCTCTCCCTAGATCCTTTGATCTAGGGATCTAGGGATCAGCAGCCCATGTGTGCTGACCACTGGTTGGCCTCATGCTTGCCAGGCAGTAGTGAATCCTTTGGGTGTTCTGCAACTTTAATCTGTTGTAGGCTAAAACTAAGCTCCATGACTTGTATTATCTCTCCTCTGTTAGAATGGAAATACCACTGGCAGAGTAGTGGGTAATCCATTATTATATGTGAAACATATAAGTGTTGGTTGGAATTATTTGGGCTGCTAGTTTTCCTCCCCAACCAGTTGTGATCAGAGCGCTGAAGGAATGAATGGGAGTTTGGATGAAGGGAAAGGAAGATAGGATTTTTAAGCATGGGGCAATGCTTGAGGAGAAAGGTACAGGCTTGGGTGGGGTGCCACAACGGGCATCCAGAGGACACTGATGCCATTGGGAGAGAAATGCTGGGAGAATGAAGATATTTCAAAGATACATTTTACCTACTTTATATATCTGCCTAAGTGCCTTGAGAAGATCTTTATTCTAGGGGAAAAACATGCTTTGCTTCATACAGAAAATCGTCTTATCTACCTAGGAAGTACATCAGTCTTTTAAATTAGGAAGCAGTCAGAGAAAGCTGAAAGATCTAAGAGTATAGAATATGGATATAAAAACACTACATTTTCCAATGAACACCTATGCATAACTACATTGATTTTTGTGTTTTTACAAAGCATTGTTTCATATTTTGCTATAAAGAAAAATTCATTTAGCATTCATGGAGAATCTATAAATTCTAAACTTATATGGAGTGAAATGGTTGTCTACTCGTCTCCTTTGGCCCTGTAACTCAGAAAGATAATAGCGATTTATGTAAGAGATTCCAATGTACTGGGAAAATATAAGTACATTTTTTCATGTTTTGAGAAAATCTGTGCATAAATGAACTTTGGCTGGCCTCTTCTTAAGGGAGTTGGCAATAAATATTCAATTTTTTTTTGAAAAATGGAAAAGTGAATTTAATCTGCAGAAATGAAGTGTTTTATGTATGAGCCAAGGTACTTATTTTGTTCTGTGCATCTGTCCTGCCCAAAATTTAACACCTTGCTTTCCCCCAGCTCACAAATAGAATAACAATGAAGTACTTGCCCTGGGGGGAAGTACTTGCTCCCATGGAAACAGAACTTTCTATAGTGTGGGAGTCTTTTTTCTTGGATCTTCAGATTTAACTCTATGCATATGATGTGTGGGGGCAGCAAGGTGTGAGAGTGGATAGAGCAATGGGCCTGGAGTCAAGAAGAACTGAATTCAAATCTGATTTCAGAGACTTAACAGCTGTGTGAAGCTGGGCAAGTCATTTAACCCTGTTTGCCTGGTTTCCTTATCTGTAAAATGAGGTAGAGAAGGAAATGGCAAACTACTTCAGTATCTTTGCCAAGAAAACCCCAAATTGGGGTCACAAAGAGTTGGGTACAACTGAATAACAAGAACAAATATGATGTGTGACATTGACATAATTGTAGTATTCAGAATTTAAGGGCAAAAACAGAGTGGCCACTCCCCTATTTGGGGAAACTTTTTTCATAAACGGATTCATCAATCTATTATCATTGTTTTATTGGTTATATTGCTTTATTTAAATACTAGAAACGTTATCGTATAAAACTCAACAATAGGTTTTCCTGTCCTGAAAGCAGTGTTTAGCATTTGCCTTATGATAATACTTTTCACATTATAAATCTCATATTGGGATTTCAATTCAATTACTTTCACAACCACGAAGCACCTACTAGGTGCTGAGCACCATGCTAAGTACTAGGGATGTGACAAAAAACAAGATAGTCCTTGCCCTCAAGGATTTTACATTTCTATTTCTGGGGGGAAAAATTATAGCAAAATTGAGTATTAAATTCATAGTAAATATAATCATAAGCTTTTACAGATGAGAGAGAATATAGTTAGAGATCATCAGTTTCAATTACTTCATTTTACAGAAGAAGAAATTCTGGCACAGAAAAGATTTGTTGGCGATCACACAGGTAGTTAGTGGCAGAGTTAGGTATAGAGTTTAAATTTCTTCATTCCAGTACAACATATTACAGCTACTTCTTAGCTCTTGATACATTTTACTGTACATTTAAACATATTTGTTTTCTAACCCTTCCCTCTCAACAGATTCTACTTGTACCATGAGGATCACCTGGTATGTTTTAGTTTTATTAGTTTTTATATTTCTGATCATCTTCATTGCCCACAAAATATTCCAAGAAAACAGAAGAGTTCGGACTTGGCAGAGTAAGTATTGAAAGCTAAATCCAAATTATGCTAAAATTCATTGATTTTAGGATCTTACTCTTTAGCCATGGATTTAATTTCTATTTCAATTTTAATCTAAATAGTATGACAGAAACTAGGTGTAAACCAACATTTCACACCATATACCAAGATAGGGTCAAAATGGGTACATGATTAAACCTTAAGCACCTTACAATACACCTTAAGTGATACCTTAAGCAAATTAGCGGAGCATGGAATAGTATACCTGTCAAATTGGTAGATAAGAGAAGATTAGGACCAAACAAGATATAAAGAGCATTATGAAATGTAAAATTGATAATTTTGATTATATGAAATTAAAGAGGTTTTGTATAAACAAAACCAGTGCAACCAAAATTAGAAGGAAAGCAGAAAACCGGGTGAAATTTTTTATAGCAAGTATCTCTGATAAAGGTCTCAGTTCTCGAATGTATAGAGAACTGAGTCAAATTTATAAGAATATAAGTCGTTCTCCAATTGATAAGTGATCAAAGGATATGAACAGGCAGTTTTCAAAGAAATCAAAGCTGCCTATAATCATATAAAAATGCTCTAAATCATTGTTGATTAGAGAAATGCAAATTAAATGAATTCTGAGGTACCACCTCACATCTATCAGGCTAATGTGACAAAAAAGAAAATGATAGATGTTGGGGAGAATGTTTGAAAACTGGGACACTAATGTACTGTTGCTGGAGTTGTGAACTGGTCCAACCATTCTGAGAGCGGTTTGGAACTATGCCCAAAGGGCCATAAAATTGTGCACACCCTTTGATCCAGCATCCATTGCTAGGTTTGTATCCCAAAGAGATAAGAAAAAAAAAAGGAGAAAAGAGCCTATTTCTACAAAAATATTTATAGCAGCTCTTTCTGTAGTGGCTGAGAATTAGAAATCAAGGGAATGCCCAACAATTGGGGAATGGCTGAATAAGGTGTGGTATATGATTGCAATGGAGTATTATTGTGTTATAAGATATGACAAGCAGGATGATTTCAGAAAAACCTGGAAAGAATTACATGAACTAGTACAAAGTGAAATGAACAGAACCAGGAGAACATTGTACACAGTAACAACAATATTGTATGATGAAGAATTATGAAAAACTTGACTACTCTGATCAATACAATGATCCAAGACAATCCCAAAGGATTCATGATGAAAATTGCTATCTGCCCCTAGAGAAAAATCTAATGTTGTCTGAATAGAGACTGAGGCATACTATGTTCTTTCTTTCTCAAGTGTTCTTACACAAAATGACTAATATGGAAATATTTTACATGATTACGTACATATAACCTATATCAGATTAAGGCTAGAATTTGTAATTCAAAACTTTTAAAAAATGTTGAAAATTGTTTTTACATGTAGTTAGGGAAAAAATAAAATATATTGAAAAAAGCAGAAAAGCATGTAAATGTGACCTGCTATTAAAAATTAACCAATATATGACTCTGAGCCAACTTGAGCTCATTCAGAATAAACTATGTAAGTTAAAAATATTTTTAGTCTAAATCTTTCTGCAATTTTTAAAGGGCAAAATCATTTATGGCTTTGCTATAAATTTGTCCACAGGTAATGGGCAGGTATGTGACCAAGGAGGGGCAACTACCTGAGCAAAATTAATATTATGCCATATCATTTGGTAATTAATATTACTCTGTAATCCTTTTTTCCATTTTGGTCAAAACTCTGTCTCTTAGCCTAGCTCGAAAGGACTTCTCCCATTCAGAACTAAGTCTTGGTTGAGGGATATGATTGATTACTCCTAATGCCCTGAGGCGTCTGCTCATTAACCTTTTTAAAGTGAAACAGCCCCCCCTCCCCTTCTGTTTACCCTTTAAACAGAGAACTAGCTTGGTCTAGGTCCTACCCTAGAGAGACTCTACTGTCTTTGAGTCTCCTTTTCAAAGTTAGGGGTGACTTGGTCTCCAAGGGGGAGGCCAAGGTGTGGGTGGGAAACCTCATTGAGATGGTTTAGGTTTTTTTTTTCCTAGTAGTTTTTTCTAGATTGTTGGAGAAAGTTGGCTGTCATAAACCAATTGGCATTCCTTAATTGCCAGAGAGGGGTGTGATCAGCCAACCCACTTCCTGTGCCCCCCCCCAAACTAATTCGATCACTTGAAAATTACTGCCACCTCCCAAGGATGAAGTAATTGGGAGGAGCTGAAATAACTTCCAACCCACCTCATTTAAATATCTACCAATCATGCACTGTCAGGTGAATCAGAAGGAAGACATACGTAGAATAAAAAAAAGACCCATAAGCCCTCACTATGGGTCTTTGGTCATGGAGAGAGACCAAAGACCTATTTTATTGGTTACTGCTAACCTAACTAATATATTAGCCATGCTCAGGTCCCAGGCTTATTGCTGAGGTGTTCATGGGTCACTGTTAACAAAACAATATCTTGCCCAGGAGAAGACTGTGCTTCAGCCTCATTTTAATGCTACATAACATTTGTGAAATCACAGATCAGTTAGGGTCTTATTGGTCAGATTGATAAAATCTTTACAATTTACTATACGTGATTTTGGAAGTTTTTCCCAAATTTCTACCAAACTAGAGTTGTGTCAAGACCACAATGGGAAGCCTAAGGAGAACTGGACATATCAGTTTGGATCTGTATTGCTTTCCTAAAAGCAGTTTCCAGGGAAATTATGAATTTTCTGAACCAGAAGATGAAGTAAGAAGGAAAAAAAGAAAGGGAAATCTGTGGGCCCCAAAGCTCTGAAGGCAAGATGCAATGGCTTCACAGTGTTGTCTAGAGTTGGTTTCCATTCCAATTGTGTCGAAGTGACATGGCAGATGTTGGAATCAAGGCTGGTGTAGAAAGAGCACTGGATTTAAGAAAGGTCATGCATTCTTGATGTAGACCTCATTTCTAATGTTTGAATATTAATAATCTCCATCACAACCACTTTGAATTATCTTTTCTCCAGAGCTAAACATCCCCATTTCCTTCAACTGATCATTGAATGATATAGTTTCCTATGTCCTCAATGTCCTTATTGCCATCCTAAGTTTTTGCTTCCACTTGCCATCTTCTTCCTAAAATTTGGTGTCCAGAACTGAACGCTTCAGATGTGGTCACAATGCTTCCGTCTCCCTTGTGCTGGACTCTAAGCCTCTCTTAATGTTAGCTTTTGGGGGCTTCCATGTTGCATCGTTGAGCCTGCAAGTCTCTAAAAGCCCTGAATTTTTTTCACTCAACTTTTATCTATCCTATTTCTCCCATTTTGTACTTACAAAGTTAATTTTTGGAACTAATATTTTTGTTAGGTTTTTTTTTTAATGATGTCTAGTGATAGACATAAGAAGAATGGAAGCAGGGGAAGCAAGTATTTGTAAAGCACCTATTTTATGCCAGGCATTGTGTTAAATGCGTTACAAATATTTTCTCATTTGGTCCTCACAACAACCCTGGGAAGTAGGTGCTATTGTTACCCCATTTTACAGTTTAGCAAGCTAAGACATACAGGTGATATGACTTGCCCAGATCACCTTGTAATGACCAGATTGAAGCATACAGCTAGTCACTGGATTTGAATACAGGTCTTCTGACTCCAGGCCAAGTATTCTATTCCCTGTACCTCCTAGATGCCTATATAAGTAGACAAAATTCTAAGAATGCATCACACAAAAATACTTTTATATAAGTCAGGCTGTTTGACCAAAGAAATAATTTTGATAAATATTTCCTTGCATATTCATGAGGATTTCATATGACATCTATATAGAAACTCAAATCACTCTGGCTCTCGTTGATTGGCTAACAACAGGTCCCAGCCCAAGCCCCACCTAGTGGTTGTTATTTGGGCTCTGATTGACTCAGAGTAAATAGCAATTGTTTCTGTTTTGGCTGGAAATCCTGAGGATTTTCCCCTCCCAGATTGATTTTTTTTTTGACTAGGTAAAAGAAGTCATTCTTTGTCTTATTTCTTAGCTAGCCTTAATCATTGAGTGGGCACTGCCTCAGTCAAACTGAGACCTGGGAAAGACCTTAGCTTAAAAAAGACCAAGATCTCCCACTATATCTGGAGCCATCTCCAGTCATCCTGATCTGTATCTTGCCAGTGGGCCCAGATGGCTCCAGAGCAGAAAGTGAGGCTGGTGACTTTGCACAGCCTTCCTTCACTTAAATCCAATTCACTTGCAAATCATGCCATCACCTTACTGATGCTGTGGTCCTTTTCCAGAAATGGCAATGATTTTGTAGACTTGAAAAGTTATCCTTAGAGCAGGTGGATTGCCCTGGGCCTTATAGTATCCAGAGATGATGTATTTAGAGAAACAAATAAAGGAGAGGTAGTATGGTACAACCCGATGAACCTAGAGTCTAGCAGGGGTGGGGAACCTGCAGCCTCGAGGCCACAAGTGTGGCCCTTTGACTGAATCCAAACTTCACAGAACAACCCTTGAGGACTTGTTATATTAGATTTGACTCATTGTAGCATATAGAAACTTTCTTGGGAGGTTCTGATTCTGATGTGCATGTTAGCTGTCCCTTGAGCTTCATGTAATCTGAACGTTTGTTCTATCATCTATGCTTTCATCCAATTCAGTGGTTACTGATGTTAAACAGCATAACTGCAAGGAATCAATGTGGCATACTGACTAGAACATTGGGTCAAAACTCAGGCAGACCTGACGTCCCTCCCACCCAAGGCACTAATCTGTGGTGTGATCCTAGCCAAATCATTTAACTTCTTATAACAGCAGTTTCCACCTCTGTGAGATTGTTGCAAGGCTCAAAAAGAGCGCTCTGTAAACATAAAACAATAAATGAATGTCAGTTATTTTGTCCCTAGTATACTCTACATAGAGACCTCCCTCCAAGTTGAACTATTTTAAGGTTTTCCCTCTATATGAGGGAATAAAGTGTCCCTTTACATATAATGGAAGATACGTACATACATGCTTATGTATGTGACAATATGATACATACATATACACACATATTATATACACATGTGTACAATGTCCATAGTATACATATCCATGTGATGTATTATAAGATATACCTGATGTATATTTATGTATGTATGTGTGTATATACATACACACACACACACATATATATATACATATATATATGTTTCTATTATATATAAAGGGATATTTTACTCCCTTATTTGAGGAAAAACTTCATAATAATTCAGTTTGGTGGAAAGTCTCTGGTGAAGTGTACCAGTGATAAAATAACAACTGTTATATACATTTATGTATATATTATGAAAGCAAAGTGATTTTGAGTAATTATTACTATTAAAGTTAATAAGTTATTGTTACCATTAATTAATATTCTTTCATCCTACTTCTGAACTAGAAGGTAGCCAAAACGTGAAAGATGAAATCAGAATCTTTAGAAGACTATACTAATTTAATTCCATTCAACAAACATTTGTTAAGCACTTACTTTGTTCAAGACATTATCCCTAGCATGTAGGATAACATGATAGGCATGTCTCACTATGCTTATGGTACTATATATAAAGGCCTAGGGTAGTTATGATTGAATGCTAATAATAGGGGAAACCTAAATCTGTTTGAAAATCAAATTGTGTTCTGTTTAAATTTTTGAAAGCATGTTTTAGGGGAGACAGTGTCTGGTCTTTGTAAGAAAGAAGCAAAGTATGTCCGAAATCTGATGCAGAGATTGACTGGATGGCAAAACTTCTGGAAGTCTGCACAGTTACTAAAGATTGGCAGTAGAATGAAACACAAGACATCCTAGACTAGAAAATTAGGAGTCCTGTTCTCTATACTGTGATTAATAATTAGCTATATAACTATGGACGAGTCACTTCAGCTTTCTGAGCCTCAGTTTCCTTCTCTGTACAATGAGGTAATTATACTATATGATCTCTGAGGTCCTTCCCAGCTCTAAAATTTTATGATTTTCAGAAATTACATGCCAGTTTCAAGTACCTTCTAGATGGGACAAAAGCCACTATCTCATGATTGGAAGGAGATCAACCCTGGGGAGTCACACTACTGCTTTCATATTCATATGATATTTAAAATCTTTTTCTTTTAATTTGAGTTAAGGTGAGTAGAACAAGAAACCAGGTGGGGCAGAAGGCTGCATTCAGTACAAATCGAGTTTCTCCCTTGTGCATAAAAAGACTGAGCAGTACTGCATAAGTACCCAATACCAGCCAGAAAAGTAAGAACATTAAATATGAGGCAAAGCACGTAGTGGCTTTTTTAGTCTAAGTTTATCTGAGACCCTTTCAATTCTAGATACAAAAGCCTTGCATCCAACATATGTTCCTTTGATTCTAAGATAAAGTTTGGGAAAAACTTAAAATTGTTTTCTACCTAGCCCTGAGAGAATGGACTAGGATAGATTCAGTTGTAATTGCGAATAGTTGAAGGCTCATGAAAAAGATACCAGATTATAATTAAGTGTTTGTGTTCTCTCGTATGTAAAAGGAGGGAGTTGAATTAGATTAATATTTCCCAACACAAACTATATTGTGGACCAGTGAAATATTGAAATTCTCTGCTATGGACCACATACCTCCTGAAACCCACAGCGAGTGTGGGTAGAAAGAAAGAGGAACTCAGAGTGAGATTAGCAGGATGAATAGGAGAAGGATAAGGTAGATTTTAATTTTATAGGTTTTATAGGACTTTGATAGTAAAAGTTTTATGGACTGGTAAAAAATTTTTATAGGTCAGTACCATGGGAAACCCTGAACTAGAGGATCTGTGATGTCAAACCAATTCAACAAACACTTGTTAAGCATTTATGTGACAAATACCATCCCTTACCAATCTAAGACTGCTTGATTTTAACTCTTGATCTAAATTGTGCATCATTTTGTTTCCAGGTTTCTGAGACTCCAGAGAAGAAGTCATGATTAATTAATATTTAGCCTCCTATCTAATCGTTTATTTAAAAATTTAATTGCCTGCAAGTATATACCATACACACCTTGATTCATATGCCTAGACACCTACAAGAAATTTAGCAATTTGAGTGATTCAGTCATAGACACTACTGTCTTGATTGGAGACCACTTTATAAATTGTGTGGTGTCTAGGATGAAGTTAATGGCATCTGAAGGCCCAGTCTCTTGAATCTAAGACTACAGAGTAATGCCACTCACCTATTAGCTAGAGTGATATTATTAGGTAGCAGAACTATTAGGCATACAGAACATAATAGCTAGAGATCTTTATTAGATTGAATGTGTCTATATTCATTAGTGTTAGCCAAGAAGGCACTGGTCTCAGAATGAATCAGTGTTTGCCCATGGAAAATAGTGTCCTAGGAGAGCACTTAATTTCAAGTTTCTTGGATAATTATTATGGATAACCTGTTTCCCCATATATTTGTTTGGAAAATGTAAATATGTTTGGGAATGTGTGTGCATATATCTCATTTAAATGCTTAGCAATTTCTTTTCTTTAAACAGATCATAGGTACAAACCTGCCTCCACTCTCTTAAAAGGAAATGATTCTGAGAAATTGAGAAGAGTGCTAAATATCCATGTTATTTCAGGTGAGTGCTACATCACATATTCAGGAATCACTGCTAAATAAATTCTGAAGTATCTCCAAAGATTAGACCCTAAGAATAAGAACTGATTAGAGACCTGAACTCACCTAAATTGGCCTCACATCTGGAAGAAAGAAGCTGTGGGTTTATGAAATTCCATTCAATTTGTCTAGTATGAGAGGACAGTTAAAATCAAAACTGCCTCTTTAAATAATGGTAAGTTTGCTTAATTGGCAAGGAGAAATTTATGTGAGTAGGCAGAAAGGAAAAGGCAGTAAGAAGGAATTTCAGATTTATTTTTAAATGAGACAAGTTACCATTACTTCTGAGAATTGTGAGAAGTAATTGTAGAGTGGGCACAGAATTCTTTAGATTCTGTATTAATGGAGAACATCATTGTATAGAGAGAAGTCGTAATAGCACCAATTAAAAAGTCCCCTCTGTCCTCTCCTAAGTGTCATTGTATTGAAATAAGAGGCACCTAATGAGAGCAAATGAGAGGCTGTCAGCTCAGCTTCTGCTGGCTGGCTCTCCTCAGAGCTCTTTGAACTAATTAGGAAAGTTCCTTCAGAACCCACTGTCCAGGGTTGTGACAGTCTGATGCAGAATAAAGCTCTTCTGCATTTGGAGCCAGAGAACTAGGGTTCCCATCCCAAATTTCCCACTTATTATCTGTGTTCCTTTAGGCAAATTATTTAACTTTCTTTGGGTCTCAGTTTCTTCATCTGTAAAGATGTTGGACTAGATCACAGGTCCTTTTTGGGGGAAGGGGGAATAGTATTTTGATTTTTCTAATTACATATAAAGATAATTTTCAACATTCATTTTTTTAGAAGATTTTGAGTTCCAAATTTTTCTCCCTTCCTCCCTCTCCTCCCCCCCACCCAAGATAGCAAGCAATCTGATATAGGCTATACATGTGCAATCATGTTAAACGTATTTTCACATTAGTCATATTGTAGAAGAAAAATCAGAACAAAAGGGAAGAACCATGAGAAAAAAAACCCCAAAAGCAACAACAATAAAAAAGAAAATAGTATGCTTTGATCTGCATTTAGACTCTGTAGTTCTTCCTCTGGATGTAGATAGCGTTTTCCATCATGAGTCTTTTGGAATTGTCTTAGATCATCGTATTGCTGAAAAGAGCTAGGTCAGTTGTGGTTGATCATTGCACAATGTTGCTGTTACTGTGTACAATGTTCTCCTGGTTCTGCTCACTTCACTTAGCATAGAGCAAAGGTTCTTAACCTTTTTTGTGTCATGGACCTCTTGGACAGTCTGGTGAAGCCTAGGGACCTCATCTCCGAATCATGTTTTTAAAGGTATAAAGTAAAAGCCATAGGATTACAAAAGAAAACAATTAATTTTAAAATATTGTTATCAAAGAATTTTTAAAAACAAGTCCACAAAATCCATGTTAAAAAATTCAAGACTAAATGATGTCTAAAACCCTTCTAGCTCTATATAGAACTATGATCCTATGACTCTGCCATAAATTTCATTAAATACATACTTACTGAGTGCCTACTATGAACAAGGCATTGCATTTATAACTGTGGAAAGTCCTATATTTGATTTTTAGAAGGCAGTAGAATTATGGATAAAATAACTAAAGCTTCTTATTTGCCTTCCCATGTTTCTCTAACTTGAGAGAAAGAGAAAAGGCATTTCAAGTCTGGTCTGAAAGTGACCTTAGGTTCTTAATAGCTACATGAGTAGCCGATAAGCTCCCATTGGTCTTACCAAGCTGCAAAGATAGGTTGACAACAGACTGTGCTTACTGTTTGAGAATCAGCCCAAGGAGGGAGAAATTCATCGCTAATAGTTTAGTTACTAAATGATGAAGACTTTGGGCATGACAGATCAAAAATACAAAATGGCCTATAGTGTTGTGTGGTCCCTCCTGTTTCCACTGTGATGGTGGTTGAGAAGTGGGAAAGAGCATCCTAAGTGGGGGAACCTACATGGCAGAATGGATGGAGTGCTAGACGTGGAGACAGGAAGACCTGGGCTGATTCCCTCTTCAGATACTTATATGCTTGACAGTTGTAAAGCTGTCAAAACCAAACCAAACCCAAACCCTTAACTGCATTTATAGCTGCATCTGTATCTGTTTAGAGATATGGAGGAGATTGCTGCTTACCACTGAGATCAAGAGACTTCTATTAGGCTTCTCAGTTAGTATGGACTCACAGATTCTTCTCTGCCCAGGGGAAAAAATATTAGACTGGGCCTAAAAAAGATCATATAAAGAGAGTAGTAGGATTGCTAGTAACTGAAAAATAATTCCCCTAGCATTGAAAGAAAAGTAATGAAGCTATTAATGAGAGGCAGTGTCATATAGTAGAAAGAGCACTGTCTATAGAGTCCAACAACCTGATTTGGAGTCAGATGAACCTAAGTTTGAATCTTGACTCTGTTGCTAATTACCTATGTCACCTTGGGAACTCACAACCTCTCTGGGCCTCAGTTTCTTAATTTGTGAAATTAGGAGTTAGATTAGATGCTCTCTAAGGTTCTTTCCTGTTCTAAATTCACCAGTTACCAAGATCAGATTATCAGAGTATGGCAATGATGGGGGAAGGGAAGAGAATGAGCATTTAAACAGTGCCTAGTATATGTCAGGGACTGTGCTAAGTACTTCTTACAAATATCATCTTATTTGATCCTCATAACAACCCTGGAAGGCAGGTACTATTATTATCTCCATCTCACAGTTGAAGAAACTGAGGCAAATAGAGGTTAAGTGACTTGTCCAGGATCACATATCCACTAAGTATTCGTGGTCAGATTTGAACTTGGGTCTTCCTGACTCCTGGTTGAATGCTTTATCCATTGTGCCATCACCTGCCTCAAGGGATGGGTATGAGAAAGGTGAATAAAAAATTCTATGGTATATGGATTTATAAAAACCACACAACCAAAGTGTAATTTTACATGGAAAAATTTACTAATAGAGCTGTCTAGGTTGGGGAGCAAGAGTGAAGATGCTGAGGATATCATCTTATAACAGCTTGACCCATACTATCTTGGTCACTTTTTTTTACAAGTCATAACTTATGACATATCAGCTTTCCTTGAAAAAAAGTAAATAGTTACCCTGTTCATGATAATTTAAGTTCAAAAGAGCTGGCTAACTTCACAAGATATGTTTACAAGTTCATTAATTTACTAGTGAAAGAACCTGTCTCAGCCACCTTTTATTTTCCACAGATTTTACTAAAAATCTTCTAACTTTATTACCATGCTCCTAATCTCATTGCTTATTGAGTCTAGGATTGTAGCCTTTTTATGTTTTTTTTAAATTAAGAATCTATTGGAGGCTTAAAGATGAAAGAACTAAATTCTACCTTATTTGTATTCCCTCAATGTAATGACTTTTTTTTTTTGCTTGTAAGTTGTTCTCTCTCTGAGAAATAAATGGAGAGGAAATAATGTTTCCCTTGGATGCCATCTTTGAGGCTTCCCTATGTAATGATGGATTGGAGGTGTCTCTGGAAATGGGAAGAAAAAAGAGTCAGTACGGTCCTCTGGAGAATCAGTAACATGAGTGAAGGACAGTTTGGAAGAAAGCCAAGATTGTATGTCGTACCCTGCAAAACAGCTATATGTTAGCTCCAACTATACTTTTCAGAACCTCTCTATAGTAGTTCTTGAATGATAAAGTAAACATTGACACAAATTCACACCACATTCTTCATCCACCAAGTTCATTTATTCATTTTGGGAGCAAAAGAGAGGAATGTTGGCTGAAAGAAAAGAAACAGAGATGAGTAAGAATCCATTCTCTATGGTAAGAGAAGAGGGACTGAATGAATGGTCAATTTTCTGTATTCATCTTTCCTTTGGCATACAAACACATACATTCTTCCCTGAGTGTTTGCGGTCTATATCTAAGCTAACATAACAGTTTATGTTGTCCTCACTGGCTGTAATAATTTTAAAATTTTGTTCACATATTGCACAAATGGTGAACACTGTTTTAAACTCCGTATGTGTAGGTGGGCATATGTAGTTTGAATAATGTCTTGCTTTCCATTTTAATTAAAATTTTCATATGCCTACAACCTACTTTATTTTATGTGGCTAGAGAGCCACAATAAGTTGCATGAATTATTTAATAAAGAAAGATATAGAAATAATGAACAATAAATCCTATTCTACTGTACTATGGAAATCTGAATGCCTCATCATGGTATAATGGTGACCCTAGGTTCTTAACAGCTATAAGAGTAGACAGTAAACTCTGAGAGGTCTTACTGAGATGGGAGGATTGTCATGACAATAGATTGTGCCTACTGTTTGAGAACCAGCCTAAGTAGAGAAAAGCTCATCACGAGTAGGATAGTAGGTAGGTGCTGAATACTTTGGGCATGATAAAGCAAAAATACAAAATGGCTAACAGTGTTACATGATCCTCTTTGGTTTCCACAGTTTTCAGTGATGGTAGTTGAGTAGTGGAAAAGGATACCCTAAGTGGGGGATTCTGCTTGGCAGAATAAATAGGTTTCTAGACTTGAAGTCAGGAAGATTTGAACTCAGTTCCCTCCTGAAACACTTAAGATCTTGGACAAGTCACTTAACCTTTATTGGCTTTTGTTCCTCCTCTGCAAAATGAGGAGTTTGGTCTAGATAGTTTATAAAGTGCCTTGTAGTTTAAAATCTATGATCCTTTGATCAATAAGTTACAATACTACTGAACCATTTCAAATTGGACATTTTCACTATAAATAAAACCAGAAGAAATAAAGAAGTTGAAACTAAATCATGGGTAGCTCACAAGTTCTCCTTAGAAAAGTAAATAAAGAGTGTTGGTAGAGTTTCATCGTGTGCATAAACTCACAAGAAAGATGATTTTATAGTATACTTCATCACCTGGTATAAAATAAACTATAGATTGCAGCATATTACCAATGATAACTTTCATGGAAGAAGTAGTGTAAAAGATATCATTTGGAAAATATATGATCAGGAAAGAAGTAATGGCAGTAATGTAGCAAAAG